GCTATGAGTGCTCTGGCTGTTGCGGTTTGAACAGTGACTGCCGAAAAAGTTCGGTAGTTTTCAGAAAGACAGGCCGTAACGTGGTGCTGGAGAGGGTACTAAAGAGGGGGGTTGACTTGCAGTGGAAGTTCCTGAGAAGGTACTGACTTCTGTTGCAGCTTGCTTGTAACAAAGCAATGTGGGGGGTTTTGTACGTTTATTAAATAAATTAGTCTGCTAGAAAACGGGCTTTCTGCTCTGCTGGCTGACAACAATGCTCAAGGTTCTGTGCGCCTTTCAGTAGTTGGTGAGCTCGCTGGAGCTGGCCAGGAGAGCGGCTGCTTTGCCGCGTTAGGTTGTCACTGCTGCCCACAGCTGCGTTTTGGAGAGGAGGTGGAGGAAGCACAGTTGTTGTGTCTACACAAAGCAGTTTTTTGACTATTTAAACTTTTTTTTTTAAAGAGCTTTAAAGGTGGGGGAGCGTCATGGACTATAAGATGACAACCCACTGTGGTTTGATGAAATAGTTTTACTTTTCTTATATTACAGGGGGAAAACCAGATGACATCACCGTCCTTCTTTCTATTGTAGCCGAGTACACAGACTGATCTGCCCGGGGCGTCGGCTCCCGATGCTGTCCCCGAGCACCTGGCGTCACACGTACGGTTTCCTGCTGGCAGGATTGCTTTCTCCCTTCGCAGCTGATCTCAGCAGCCGGGTCTCGAGCTCGTGGCCTGTCTTGAGACGCAGCCGAAGTCCTTGTTAAGAACCACTCTCGTAGTACACTGGTCTTTGTCTGCCAGCAAGAAATGAAGCAGCTCAAGGCTTGAAGCGTGTCTTTCAGAGCTGTCGTTGTCCTTAAGAGGGGGAGGATCAATCCCGCATCGTTACTGCGTTTGAAACGTGACTTCCTTTCAAAGGGGTAGAGTTGGTTTATCATCTTTCAAACTAGGTTCGGTAGATACCACCTCTGCGAGAGGGCGTGTTACTCTAGTTACTAGAAACGTTCACTCTTCATTAAAGGGTATGTTACAGACACAGTTCCATAAGCGTAGTCTCGTTACAGTGATAGCTGAGGTTCGTGTTTCTAAGCTCCGGTTTTCAGGAGATTTATAACTGCTGTAAACATTCTGCTCTTGCCATACATGGTGTCAGCCTAGGAGCCTTTTCTAGTATGGAATTTCAAAACAAAAACAAACAAAAACCAACCCATACTTAGTTCAAGTTATATGGATGCAAATGTGTTTTGTGATTTCAGGTGCTTAACTGTGATCTTAAAAAGTTCTGCAGATCATTCGTCCATAATGGGCCTGGTATCTGGATGTTTTGGCTGTGGATAATTTTATTTTATTTTATTTTAACAAAAATTTTAACTCAGTCTCAAAGCTGAGCTGGCCAAAGTCGAGATCCTTTCAGCATTTTAACCCGTCTCGCCAGCGCGGGAGGATGCGGCGTAAACGCTGCAGTGGGAGGTGGCACAGAGAACGGATCATCCTCAACTCTGAACGTCTTTACTTTCCGTAGAGAATTCTGTTGTTCGCGAAACGTAATTTGTGTTAATCATCACCATTCTCGCTTGTGTAGAACGGAAAATGCTGTACCAGTTTCAGTCCAGTTGATCCTTATCTCTCTCAAACAAGCACCTCTTCGCTTATGCTGTGGCAGCAGCTGTAAGTACCTAAATGGAAACTTCTAATGAGTAATCAGCAAAACTTACATTTCAGTAACTAAAGTTTAGGGTTTTCAGAATGAACCTTAATGATGTTTACAGTGACCTAACAGCCACTTTGCAATATGACATTTCCTTTGGAATTACAGTAGCTCCCACTCGTTCCCCCCGTTCCAGCAAGCTTTCCTCTCTCTTTCCCGGGGTTCATACAAAAAGCTGATAGCTGTAAAGATATATATATTTTTGGTCAGTTTTTCATTAACTTTTTTGCTGGTAGAAGAGTATGTAGAAATAAATTAAAGCCATGTTTTTATATATAAAAAGTCGGGTAATGTTGCTGTTTAGGTGAGTGCAGTTAAACTTGGTCAGTAAGTAATCTTACCTGCTCTCAAAAGGAGATTTTTACTACCTGGTTTATTGTATTAAAACTGTTTAAGTTTGAGGTTACCTCAACTTGTTTAAAGAATTTTTGTGGACTTGTACTGTATATTTGCGTAACTATGTCAAGCTTTTATTTAAGGTCATTTAACATGTACCATGTACATGTCATTTTACGATATTTCAATGCATCATGCTTGTAACAGGCATTTCATTTATCATAAGTGATTAATTTGGAAGCTTTTCAGTAATTTATCTGCTATTCCTAAATCGGCATCATGTTAGCTATCGATTTTAAATCACCTTGTAATTACTTGTCAAAATGCCTTAACTACCCTAACTTAACCAAAATGTCATTTTGGTGAGGGTATGGGGAGGATTATATTGATGAAGAAAAGAAGAAAAACCAATTAGCTTTGCGATCCATGGAACAGCGAGTGGTGGATAACTTTGCACAAATTGTCAGTCCTTGTTGTTTTTTAAAACCGAACAAGCTGTCTCTAGCTGTCTCGTCGGAAGGAATGTATTCACGCTGCAGTACAGGGCTTTGTTTCTCATTTGGGAGGGGTATTTCTCTCTCAAATCAGGGTGTCTTTACATTTTATTCTCCAGTATTTACCGTCACCCTTCTTGATTAGAGCAGATTTGATCAATGATTCTTTCCCTTGAACTTCACCTTAAAACGCTGCCCCTGCAGACCTGGACTGTTGCACTCTGACCCCTCGCTCTCGCCACGCTCGTCCCCAGCCCTCGTTATTCCCCTGTGCTTTCTAGAACCGCCCGGTGGGAGACGCGCGCGGCTCGGGCGCCTTCGCCCCGTGAGGTGCTGCGTGCGCCGTGCTCGGCCGGTGTCCCCAGGGCCGAGCTGTGCTGCCTGGTGGCACCGCGCCTCGCGCTCTGCGGGAGCCGAGCAGCGTCCTCAAAGCCGTTTGCCTCGTATCGCGTCCTGACTTTTTGTTGTTGTTTTTTTTTCTTTTTTTTTTTAATAAAGAACAAATTTGGATTTTAATTTACGAATCATGAGTTTATCCCTCACCGGACACACCAAAGACCAGTAAAGCTTAGAGCTTTTCCATCTGTTTATAAAGCAATACTGTATTATAAAGAATTGATATTTTTATCACACGCTTGATTGTTTTTGGTTTTTTTTAAGATGTGCACTCTAAACATATCAAACTTAATTTCTTCCTATGAACTTAAGCTGTCTGCGCACAAGAAAATGTTGGAAAAGGAGATGACAGGGCCCATACTATCAATTTGAAACGATGCATGAAGCAGTAACTCTTCCTAGGCGTTCGATTATTGGGACTGTTCGTGAGAGGAAGGTACCGGGAAGGTGTGTGAGCGGAGCACGGGCTGCCCCCAGCTGCTGCAGGGGAGGGGGGTGTTCTCAGGAGCTGGTGGTTTGGAAGCAGCGATCTGGAGGAGGAGTTTTACGCACCAGTCACCACGTAACGACATGGGACTGGCAGGAGCTGGGATCTCTGCAGCAGCGTTACTGGGTGTTGGGGTAAAACAGGGCTAAGATGTGGTGAATTGGAAAAACTCTGTGGTTCCTTGCTACTTTATGGCTATCTTTGGGAGACCTGCAGCATACAGTTTCCCTCTAAATGTACTTTCTTTGTGTTTATGAAGAAGGTATGGCCAGAAAAACAAACAAACAAACAAAAAAAACAAAACAAAACAAAAAAAAAACAGATCTGGGGACCAGACAGTTGTGACTGAGTCAAGGAGAAGGGAGAGGCGAAGGTCTTGCAAAGATGTGAAGGATTTGGTGATGGAATCTCCATCTCTTGGTAACAGACACCCTTTCTCCAGGGAAAAAACCACATTGTGTGTGTAGAAACTGGCTGTGTGAGGTAGTTTCTTACAAAGATAGCTGAAATAATGAAGCAAATCCAAGTCTGTACCTAATGAGGATGCTTTGTTGTTGTTTGTTAAAATTGAGACTATCATCTATGCTTACCTAAGAGGCAATTATGTGAATTTCATGTCTGAGGTATAACTTATGCAGGAATAGTTCTGTAAATACATTTAAATGAATTGTAAAGATATTTAATAAATATAGTATTTATACTAAAATGTGGGGGTTTTTTGACGTTGACTGTGAAAATTCCATTTGTTAACGTAGCAATGCCCTCGGTGGGCAGAGGTGCAGCCACGAGGCCCTGGGCGCTGGGATTCAGACCCTGGTCTGGGGTTCTCAAACCGGGCTCTGGCCAAAGAGGCGGGGAGGGGGAAGAGCGATGCGAGTCTGGAACACAAAAGCCTCTGGAACTCGTGCGTTCAAACACCAACTTTATTTTTTTTTTTTAAAATGTATTTCTGTGACACCTTGGGTTACTCAGATGCTGGTTCTCCACCGTTTCTGGACCCCACCAGCCGCTTTATAGCAGCAGGGGGCTTAGCTGTGCCGCAGGGGAGGGGTTGGGTTTTCCCTGCTTTACCACAGCAGCTTAACCTGCCTGAAGTGGTGCCACAGTTTGAATTCTCTGCGGGAATGTACCGGAAAGCTGAACACCCAGAGCAGCAGGCCTGCAGAGCGAGTAACGCCCATGTCCAGTCAATCGTGACCTGAATTCCTACGGCCTCCTGGCGGCGGCTGGCAGTGTTGAGTGACCCAGGGGGTGATCAGCGTGAACAGTGAGTAAATGCTTCAGCTGTACCGATAGGAGGGACTGATAATGCCCTGGGTCGGGTTTTGTCCTTTTCTTAACGTCTGTCTCGTAAGAAAAACGGGCACATTTGAGCAGGATTCCCCCTTCCCAGACTGCCTGAACGGGGGTTTGTGAAGTGCCGTTCACCACACAAGCCCAGGGTACAAATAGTTCCTGTTGAGTTCTAACTTGCTGAAGAACTGCAGCTAAACTTCTTCCTAAAACTAGAAACAGCTCCACAACAAACCACCTCAAATACACTTTTCTCTTTCAAGATGCTCGCCCAGTCTTTACTTGGGCTCAGATGCTTCATGTCACTAGAGAACAGGGGAGCTCTGCATGTTGCCAAAGTCCTCTTCGGTGTCGCTAGCTGTTGCTAAACTGTGGGAGGTGTGACCGATGGCATCCTTCTTACAAGAAACTGCTCCAAAAAATAGGGAATGAAACTGGAAAATGCAATGTTTATAGAAGTAAGAAACTGTGTGCGATACAGAATTTGGGGGTTAATTATTTCTGAAGCTTTTGCCACTTTAAAATTTTTATCGGCCTACAGTGTTTTCTAGGAAAACGCCTGCTGTCAGTGAACGTTTCCGCATTACCTTTAAACACAGTCGTGGTGGTTTTTGCCAGCTGTGCTGCTGGGAAAGCCAGGTCCATTGGAATGCCGCGTGCAGGACTGAACATCAACACGTGGCAGGTAACCCCCGAGTGCGGGCAGCCCTCGGGTACGCACCAGCTGAGGTGCCCCGCTGGGCCCACGATGGCAGTCCCCTTACCTTCCAGTAGCCAGACCCCGCTGCCTCTCCTTCCAGCACTGCGCGGTCCTCTGCCTCGGCCCCAGCCGTTCCTCCCGTGCCTGGCGCGCCTTTCTTGGCGACCCTGGGAAGACTGTTAATCTCTTGCTTCGCCAAAGGACTTGCGCGTTTCGCTGCCTCTCTGGTCGGTGCGTTTCCATTCCACTGTGGCTTTTTGGAAGCAGCTGCTTTGGCGTTGCCATCTTTATCCACGGCGGTTTTCTCAGATTTACCCGTATGTGTCTTCGAGCTGGATTGGAGAGAGTAGGTCAGGTTAGTAACTGGCTTTTACGTCGTTTTGTTAGAATTTCTGTACTTTCTAGATTTTCTCTACTTCTGAAGAGCATTCAGGAAAAAAGCTTCAGAATAGATTCTCAAAAAATATCTTCCCTTCCCCTCCCTGCTGTGACGGAACCCCGTGGAGATGAAGGGAAGCGGAAGCCAGTGTGGAGCGCTCTTGGTCGCACCACTGCTGCGCGTGGCGCTGACGTGTCCCTGGGCCCTCTCTGGTTCACGGTTCTCCTATGAACAAAGACTCGGGGTCCGTACAGTGCTTACCAACGCCCTGCAGGAATGAGCAGGTCGCTTCCTTTCCGTCTTTAAACCTGACTTGGCTGGAAAACGTTAAACATCAATTTTTCGTCCTCTTGGGCAGTCCGCCTCCCTCGCCCGTGCTGTTACCTTTCCTGCCGCTGCGATGAGCAGGGGGGCTGCTGGGAAGCTCGCTCCTTTTCAACCTCGGACAACGTCGCCAAAATAAAGCTGGCTTCCAGCACCATATCTTCAACACTGAAAGCAATTGGTCTAAAGACAAATATACAGAGACTAAACCAGCACGCATGGTTACACCCACGGCAGGGGGAACTACAGCTCGTGTGATTCCACACGCACGGATTAAGAAGTGAAAAGCTGAGAATCTAACGGGCTTGCTGCTGAGGCACGTGGGATGGCTTCCTGCTGCGGATTTCAGTGCACCAAGGAGCAAATGCCGTACAATATAATGCTTAGTCAAACGACAGTTTTAAATATGGAACTGTTAAAATTGTATTTTAAACAGAAAAGGTATTATTTCTTTAGACTTCTAAATAAAATCATTGCGTGCTCTAGACTGAGAGGCTGAGGTGTCCAGGTAACACACAGGGGTGCCCGTTAGTCAGCACGGCTCGCTGTGTAGTACTGGTGCCTCTGTTAACTGCTTTATGCCCAGTAACAAACTGGTAACCCTGTATCACGGCTCAGAAATCCCGCTCTGGGTACAAAACGACAAGCTATTTTACTGGTCCAGTTAAACATTCACTGAGTGACCTGCAGGCAAAAAGCGACTGTAGAGCTGTGACTGCAGTAGGTTTAGTCAGGCAGGTTCCAAAACGTACTTTCCAGCCACGTCAAAATGGATTGAGACGGGAGCACTGGTAGCTTCTGACAACGCTAGTAGTCCCTGAAATGAAGGGGTGAGTGGTTAAACGCTGGTCTAAGCACAGAAGATCAGTATTAGAACGTGAGTTTATCCCAGTTGTTGTTTACTGGCAAAAATAGGGTGAAATTCTACTGCTTCTAGAGTACATTGCTTGCCTTCCCTGCCCGGGGCTTTGCCCAAGCAGCTTCTGCTTGGAGAACATCCGTGGCCACACCGCTTTCTCCAGGGCAGTTCCAGTGTGTCTGCCCAGCACCAAAACCTACATTTTTCTTGTTTTAAAAACAATTCGTTTACTCTTCAAAGGCCACCGTGAGGGACCTCGCCATGTCCTAAAGACCCCGGGTTGTAAAGCTCGTCCTCGCCAGCTGGTGAACTACGGCTGCTGGGCAGGAGGCTGTGGGAGCGCTCCCCAGGGCCACTCTGCAGGGACCGTGCCGTGCTGTCCTGGGCGAGTCAGGCAGGTTAAGGGGAAATGTTTTATTTTCAAGACAAATTCTTGCTTTACCCTCAGTTCTTTAAGGCAGAACGTCACTTCAGAATCTACTCCAACTTGAAAGTAGTCAAATTCCTCTGGGTTTAGTTGTATTTCAGTAAGCATTGTCTTTGAAAAATCTGCTTAAAGTAAGAAGAAAGTCAAGGACTCAAAGGAGGGGAGGTTGAACTCAACAAAACTATGGTTATAACCACAAGGTTTTTACATCAGTGTCGTCTGAACAAAGAATCACATTTGTATAGCAACTAGCAGTAATAAATGTTTATTTATCTAAATTTATTTCATAATTAAGTAAAAAAGAATCCTCAATTTATTTACAGTACCTTAGGTAGCTTTAAATGGCTTTGAACAACCCATTTTATGTTCTACGGTGTGAGCTAACCTGCTACCTGCTGTTGGTCTGCAACTCTGCTTTGCCGACAGGCATTCCTCACAGGTAGCATCCCGGCTCTGCGCAGACAGGAGGACCAAGCTGCAGCAGGGCTTAAACAGTAATTGCTGACAGGCCTCAGAGGACAAGGAAGGTGGACTCGGGTTCTTTGGTTTTAATTATCATCTTTTCCTGGTACGTAAGTGGCAACGGGAAACGGGCTCTTTGGCTTCAGGTATTCAGTTGTGCTTGTTCTCATCAGGAGAGCCCGCAGCTGCTGTTAGGGGTGTGAGAAGAAAGCAAGAGGGTGCTTCCGTGCTGCGTTACAGTCTCCGAGGCGTTCAGAAGACAGCTAGGCAGTTCACACCTCTCCAGGTCTCGTCCCAAGCCAGGCTGCGAACGCTTCTTACAGACTATTCCCAGTTTCCCATTTCTCTGCCCAAGAGGTCGTTTTTTTTCCTCTGCCTTCAACAAGGCTCCACTGCCTGGTCAAACACACTCAAGTTCCTCAAAACTCTAGACATGCCTACGTGGAACACATCTGGCAGCTTCTGCAGGGCAGAGCCCACCGCATGCCAACGACGACAAGTCTGGGCAGAAGGTGCCATTTCTTTCTTTGGCAATTAAACCCGAACGTGGAAGAGCCCCAGCCACCGCCAGACGAGATGATCAAAGGACTCGTTTTGTTTGGGTGCAAACAGAACCTCTGCTGCAGGCGGTGTATTGCACCACGGGCTACACAACAAGCACGGAGCCTCTAATTCCTCCTTTTTCTCCTCAGCTCTTTGGCTTTTTGGTATCTCATTAAATTTTTACCTGCTATTTTTTTCACTTTCTTTCTTACAGTAACTCTTGTAAGTGTATGTTTCTAGAATAACAACATTTGTCATTCAAAATCTTTTTAGCGTCTTTTCATCTTCAGTCATTTCTTCCCTGTTTCACTCCCATTTCCACCCCTTAATCCTTCTTGCTCTCCACTGCTTTAGCCTGTTCCCAGCACAATCCCCACCCCTACGCTCTAGGCAGTCATCTTTTTCTAGGTCATTATCCTCAGCTTTGGGCATAAGCCCATGTGAAAAGCATCCCTTCATTATATGATATACAAGAACCTACCCTTCAAAAGCACAACTATATCTTTAAAATTAGTTTGAGCCACGTGCCAAGAATCCAGACTGTTCTCCGTCTCCAAGGGAGATCCGAGAACGGCAGCGCAGCGTAACGGCGTTACGCCAGCTAACGCGCCGCATCGCCCTTGCACTAAAATAGACTCCGTAGTGGTGTCAGTTCTATAATGATGGTGTTCAGGTTTAAATCGTTCTTCAAACAGCAAATTGGCTCCTTTTTCCTGCCTGTTGCCACGCTGCTGCTCTTGCAGCACAGTCATTACCTCTGCTCCAGCCTACAGCAAGTGGCATCGTTTATTTCAATTGGCTGCTCAGTCTGATAACTGCCACCGACACCAGGAAAGCCTTGCTAAAAACGTACTTTCTCAAAATGTATTAAAACCAGAGGGTGGCAGCACGACTTAAATCTCTCTCTATATGTTCCCTCTCTTAAAAATCTCATCCAGCCATAAAATGCATTCTCTGCTCAGGTTGCGATAGTTTTTATTCCTTTAGCTCACCTGTTTTAAAGCCCCAATGTTGTTTGATCTTTTGAATTTCCTTACCGGTGTCTTCCTCGGTGTAACTCTTGAAACAAACTTTCATTGGAGTAATTGATAAGGTTACTTCTTCTTGACTGGTCGGGAAGTGAATCATTATATCAGCCAGCAGCCTATAGAATTACATTCAATATTTAAATAATTTTGCCTGCCACAAATTACCAGCTGGCTTTGTTACACACATTAGAAAATTAAAATCGTTACTTGGCACAACTGAAAAACTACCTGTGAGATGTGCACCCCTTAGAGTGTGCTGTATTGTTCTTCTTGATTTGTACAGCAATAGGTACGTAAGAAATCTAAAAATACACCCAGTAATTACGAAAGCAAATTTGTTTATATTTCATGCCTGTGTATGCTGCCAAATCAGTCTCACACATACGGCTGCTGCCTTTCTGCGGGCATGGGTCACGATTTTGAGCAAACCTCGGCGTCCGATACCCTTTATTCAACAGCTTGGGGCTTTAAAAGTTGCAGAATCTTTTTGCAAACGCGATACACGATATCTATGCAGAGGTATCGTTATACACCTTTAGTGCTCCGAGGGCTGGTTATTGTGACAAAGGCTCCTGCCCACAAGAAACGCTGTCAGGAAAAGCACAGTCTCACCGTTCTTTGCCTGCAATGACAACCAAACCGTGGATTCTTCCAGGAGCTGCTTTTCAAAGCAGAACTGTGCCTTATTGCGTAGGAAAAACTGTGCTTTCACTGGAGTCTTTGCCTATCCAATTAAAGCGCTACTTTATTCATCATAGGTGGAAGTTGCTCAAGGGTGTGGATTCGAATTATACACCACACACCGCTCAAGGTCAGGCTGAGCAGGATTAACGGCAGAATGATCCAGGTTTCTGAAGCTGTAATGTGAAACATCAAGCACTAGGACACAGGATTTAGGCATTCGCCACAGTTTTTGACTGTGCCCTAATCAGGTTTTGATGGTGTTAAGGACTATAAGAGCAGTATTTTCAGAAAAAATATTTTTGTATTCATTACCTGGAGTGGACTTTAAGTATGTTTGGACATGTGTGCTTTGCAAAAACAGCCAGCAACGGATCACATTCTTGAAATGCCAGATTATATGTTTTTACCACACCTAAGTACAAAGAATATGAACAAAAATCAATGCTGGTCTGCAACTTTAAATGTTTTTTTCAGTATTAATTGTTCTTTTAGGAAATCTCAATAGAGAAAGTAAGCAAGCAACTCGCTGTAGCTACGTGGAAGTAACTCACCCCCAAATAGCAAACTGAATTAACCTGCCGTCCCAGTCTTCCTTCAGCCTCCTAGGGATGCCCTTCCAGCATCCGAGTTTTTTCAGAATCCACAAGAAACAAGTGAACAGCAACAAGCACAACAAAAGCAGGGGAAAGAAAGGCTGAAAAATTTAACTGGTGTAATGATATAAACGGTGGTGGAATACAAAAGGCAAACCCTACAGATCTCTATTTATTTCTAGCTAAGCATGAGCTAAGAGAGCTTAATTGTCTTGAGACCTAATTCAATATATTATCTCATTATTAGTAATAAAAACTGGATTTTTTCTAATATAGACCAGTGCCTATTCCACAGCTCAGCTCGCGATGTTGATGGGTGAGAGTTGAGCAGATTAATGCTGATGAACGTACGCGGTGTTCTGCCGGGTGAGGGTGTCAGACCCGTGACCCTGCTGAAGAACGGTCAGAAGGGCAGACACCCAGTAAATCCTCCAGTTCCACCACCTGCCAAAACAGGGTTTCCCTCCCTTTTCATACCGTGTGGGTTTTTTACAGAACTTACTCCAGCCTAATTCTAAACGCCGTAAGCAGCAGGCTGACAATTACCATGCAGCGTGCCTTAGCCACTGAACTGAAGAACGTTCGTCTGCTAAAGGCTGTTAGAACATCAGTTTAACGAGGTGATGCACATGATAAATATAAATTACGATGTGAAGAGGCTGAAAGTGCTTGGCATAATGTTCTGTCAGTAACATTCAATTAACAATTACACTAAACACTGCGTTGCCCTGCTCTTTTAAACTGCTGTAAAGTCACTTTACATGTAACCTACCGTGCTTGCAGAGGAGCTGAAAAGTTATGTGATGATCATCAATATTTGTATAAATGCTGCATTTCTCTACATTCCTTTCCAGCACTTTTACGTATCTAAATACAGGAAGAACTGACTGTAAAAAAAAAAAAAAAAGAAAAGAAAAAATCAGTGCAGGGGTTACTCACCACGTGATTTCACAATACTGTTTCCTTAGTTTCATACAGTTTATCTCAAGCTCCTGCTTTTATGGCTTCCCAAACTGTTCTGTAAGCAGACACCGAGGCAGCTGATACTGATCCTCATCATCCTCACCCGCCACTCCAACACGTGGCCAACAGATCCGTTGGCTAAACAACTGGTCAGAGCTTGCCTGCCTCATAGTGGTTCCGAAGGCTACAGGAGAAACACTCCAGAGGCAGAACCGTGGTGGTCCTTCACCCCAAGATTCAGGTGGTTGAGCCTCTGGGATCTGCAGGGCGGGCACAGCTCAGGAGATGCAGCTTCTAAACACCACTATGAACGCTTTCTTTTGCAGAATTGCTTAGAAGTGCTTGAGTTTAGGGCCATCTGTGAGCCTCCTGCTACAATTTTATCTGGAAATTGGGCTAATTTGCATTGGCGGTGCATAACTACCCATTAAAATGTACCTTAATTATCAATTTACACGGGAGGGATAACTGTTTTTCCTTCTGACACGGCTGAGACACAACTGTCCAGCAGTAATGTTGAAAAAACATAGATGAGAAGAAGATACATGCATATGCTGACCTTGAAGAATTCACTGATCTTAAGGCAAGCTGAAAATACAAGTAAAATAATTTCTTAAATAATAGTAAGTAAAATACAAGTAAAATAATGTCTTAAATAATAAACCTTTAACCAAAAAGCCACCTCTGTGTTCCAGTACCATACCTAAACCACAAAACCTTTAAATGTGGACATCTCAAACTAAATACAGGTGCACGATGCACACAATCACGTTCAAACTGATCACCTTCGTTACTACTGCTCAGAAGTCACAGGCACAGGAATCCAACCTACGGACTTTTAAGGGGCCCCGAAGTGTGAGTGACCTGAACACTTACAGCTCAGCTTCTGTTTGAGGCATTTGAAGGGCTGGAGTTTATTCTAAAACAATCTTCCTGCACACCCACCCATATGATATGTACAAACGAGCAAAAGACACTACTAGCACCTCAAAAATTCTTCAGGTGCAACAAGAAATTATCTCCGCTTCTGATTTTCCAGCCTCCCAGCAAATTAAGGAAAGTTGATCACTTTTAAATAAGTAACCTCTAGAGAAAACTCTTAATTCTGCTGGAAATGGTGTTTGATTAATCAGAGGCATATTAACGGATGCATTCTTCCTGTTGCGTCATACCAGTACAAAAACATGTTGTTTAGAGGCAGCTTCTGATGCGGTACAAAACATAAACCTTTTGACCCATGACAGCAGAAATAAAACCCTTGGTATTAACACGGATGTCCTGGACAAGCTTCAGCTTCAGCAACAAAAAAAACCCAAATACTTAGCAGAAATGAATCTTCCATGATGTAACCAGCATAATTACAATTACAGAAAATATGGCATTTGTCCATATTGAAAGTGGAGGAAGCTGAGCGAGAATGTAACTCAGATTGAAGGGTACCTGTAGGAAAACAACACAATATCCAACGACATAAATACTATGCTTCCAAGAAAGGTTTTCAAATTACAATAAATCAAATTCACTTACACCTTTTTCTATGGGGTCAAACCAAAATTCATCACTAATACGTGCTATGGCATGTATTGCTCTTCCAAACACTACCAGGAAAAGAAAACAGTGCAATATGCATTCTAAGTTAAAAATAAAAGTTATACTGCATTTTCTCCAGAATAATTTAAGAGGAAACATTACAAATTTCCCACATTTCAAAGAAAACGGATGACATGGTGAAAAATATTACTCTTTCCTTTTTAGTAGGACAAACACCTTGATGCTTTCGAAAGCAGCACTTCAAATGTCATCTCTCCCTTTGCAGCAACTGGCATCACCTGGTGTCACCACAAATTAATTCAATTTAACTGGACAAAACACCACTGAAGTTGGAAATTACATTTTGTAGGTGGCAACAAGTTTGAGCGAGCGGTTAGCAGCCGGACATCTGGAAAGATGTAGCCCTCAGAAACACAGAAGAAACCAGCAGTGGGTGTTAAAATTGGCCTCTGCCCACCCCGGCACTGGCAGAGCAGCATTTTGCACAAAAACGCTGCGCACAGGAGGTTCAGTTGGGCCTCTGGAAGTAGAACAGCGTGCACGGGGAGGCGCTCAGCTAAGCAATGGCTTCTCCACCTCCAAGTACCACAAATCCTGCCCTCTGCTCTCTAATCTGAACAACTTTCTGCACGTTGCCTCACAGAAACGCCTTTGTCCTCCTGGACAGCTCTACCGTGGCCATGGCAGGGCTGGCTGCAGCTCCCCCACCCTGCACCGTCTGAGTGCCCCCACGGGGAAGCCCACTGAGGGCAGTGCCAGGGACCCCAGGGTGCCAGCGGTCACCCAACCCAACAGCTGCCGGCCTGGCTGAACTGAACCGCCCTGAGGCGGCCCCGCTCGGGGGTGCCCGTTTCTTTCACGTACACCCCTCCGCCCCAGGCTGGCTGCCTCCCCTGGGGCCGCGGGTACCTCTGAGGCGAGCCCCCCCAATGACACACTTCATGGCGCCCTGCGCCGCACTCTTCCCCTCACACGACGGCCGCAGAAAGGGCGGGAAACGCTCCCGCCTCTGCGGGCGAGGGGAGGGACTCAGCGCTCCGCAGAGACCCGGATGTAGCCGGGGCGGGGGTTGACTGCGGAGAAACGCCTTTCGCCTTAGCTTGGCCCTTCGGAGGCGCCGTAGCGGGGAGGCTGGCGCCGGCC